CGAACTGAAAAAATAATTGGCCTTTGCTTTCAACCCTTTTGTTGTTTATCTTTTTTTTTCCCATGAAATGTTTTTAAATAACCGTAGGGACTCTGTCAAACCCGTGCCAGGTTCTCGCTGCATCTGGCTGTGTGCAGGGAGTCTGCTGTGGCTGTGTGCCAGGTTGTCCATCTGGCTTGTCTCTTTCCCTGACTAGTCACTCATTTCAGGGGTCTCTCATAGATAACTACATGTGGGCTGCATGTGGGGGGGGGGGCAGCAGCTAATGAGGACAGTAGAATTTGAACAGGCAGACAATAACCCTCAAACCATCCCTCTGCTTGTTTCTCCTTGTCAAAATTGGTCATTTATTTCGCTCAATTCTGAGAGACAGCTGTCAGGTGAGTGCATGATTTCTGCTCTCCAGCTCTTATCTGTGATTCTGAATTGTAGTTCCAGGAAGCCTAGCAAGAAAGCACCAAGGCAGAAATCCATCTAGTGCAGGTGGGGAGCTGCGTTAGCATGCGTAGGCTACAAAGGAACATGTAAAGGTTTATTCCATGCGGAAAAGAAACTCAACATTTCGACTGGGGAGCCTTCTTCGGGTGTGAGCATCCATCTACAGTATGTGTTTATATTTTGAAGGAAAACTTCATACTTCAAAAATATGTTACTTGCATAGCAGTGGCGCCAACGGAATGAGAAAACAAACAGCTTATGTTGTCCACATACAGTATAGGACGTTACACACCGTAAAGAGCAGACATTAACCTTGAAAGTACAAAAACAAGTGAAACTATAGTTTGTTGTCCCTCATTGCTCAAGTACTACGATTGATATGCCACCCTGATCTCAGTCGTATTATTGAGTTTTCAATTAGAATTACTCTTACCAGGCAGTGAACCAGATTATTTAATTAAACTGTAAGGGAATGGAAGCCAGAAATTACAGGCATGTTATGGCAGGTGAAATCATGGACCATGATGACAAATTGTTCATTCAATAATTTTGAGACCCAAAAGCGTAAAATAGGTCTGTAAAATCTGAATCGATCAAACGTGGCTTAAAAAAAATGTTAATTCCAAACTAGGTAGACAGGTCTGAACAGAAATTAGTATGACAAAAAGCATTTGTATGTGTCTATTTGTTATATAGAGGAGTTATTTGATTTTAATTAGTGCATTTTAAGGGACTATTTGATAGATACTACTGGGAGAATTGATAAAACAGCACTTTGTGGCATGAAATCAATAAGGGGAGTTATAAACAAATGTTCAAGAGAAAAGACAAACCTTTAACCTCCCCTGATTTATAACTATGGTATATTATTCATCTATCCCAGGGTTCTTTGCCTCTCAGCCCTCGTTCATCATCGCCATAGTAGCAGAGCCTTGGCCTACAGTGTGTGTGGGGGGAAACCTTTAACCAGTCAGGCAGTCTGATATCTGTACATTACCTATCGTAGTTACGTCTGTTTGGTAAGTGGTGAGCTTAATGGGTGTCCTTTTCTACGTATTCTATTGCTATTTTTTAAAATATCCCCCCTCAGTAAAGCAGTTAAAGGAAAATTCTGGATTTTCTAGTACTGTAAGTAAAACATTTTTTGCATGGTTAATACAGCCTTGTAAGTCATTGTAAAGGCCGGTGCTGCAGGCTTTAAAGTGGCAAAAGTATTCCTTTTGGGGTAAAATACTTAATAGATGCAGACATACCACATACTGTATGATGTTGTTGGATGCTGCCTAGACACGTTCCAGATGTTGAGTAAATACATCTGTAGAATGGCATCTCCTACAGTGTTTCCCAGCCTCCACAGTGAGAGTTGTTTGGTTTTTTTTGCAATTCTAATCCAGAAAGTAGAGCTTCATCTGCTGGTCCAACGACACAACTTCGCTTTCAAAATGAATGTTGCCTATTTGTTCCTTATTTGTAATGTTAACCTACTGTACAAGTAAATCACGTTCTATAGAGGATCTGGGTTATTTTATGAAGCACCAAGCTAATGCTAAAGTCTTGAGATGAATGGAGGCACGTTTTCTTTGGAACTCAGTATCTCCAAAGCCCGACATGAGAAATACTTATGAAGGTTACTGGAATGGAAAAAAAAAGTTACCTGCCTTCAGCTTTCATATCTTTTTCTTGCACTTTGCAGTCAAGAGTCTGCAGAGATCATGATATAAAATATTTTTTCCTTTTTCTTGAAACAGAACAGTAAATGAAACTTCTTTGCCCTGCGTGGAGAGAAAATTAGGATGTGTATGAGGAAAGGAAAGCTAGGGGGATACTCTTCTAATTTACTAACCACTGTCTTGCTGCTGCCCCCACTGTATGGCTCATATCTGCACTTACCGGGTTTAATCTCATGTTCATCAAAATGTAATGGATTTTATCAAAGTGAAAAAAATAACCATAATATCAATCATTTAAAAAAATCAAGTTATAGGATTCTGAACATCTTAAAAAGAAACTTTCAAATAATGGTTTTGAACTGTATTCAATTAGATAAAAAGTCAATCTAAAAGTGGCCCATAGACTGAAAGAGGAATAGCTCGTTCATACCAAGATTTATAGAACAACACCGGTAATTAATGGATAATTTCAGATACATTAGTGTTCTGCAGGGGAATCAATTACAATGTTTAATGTAGCAAACTATTGTACTGGCTGGTATTTAGATGACGGATGACTAAAACTGTATCCAAGCAAAGGGTTTTTAGACTTTCTTTATTAGATTTATTATTATCACCAATTTGTCTATAGTCTCAGAGGAAGCCTACTTCATAGGTTTTAGCAAAAAGGAAGAAACCAATTCTAACTGTCTTTTCAGATAGCAATCTATCCATACAGAGCAGCAGATATAAGGTTCTTTTTTCTTGATTGCACAGCTGGTTTTGGGGGTTTATTTTATAATTGTGCTATTGATAGTTTTAGGAAAGGTCTTTGACAACTCTGTGGTGCATTAAAGGAATGAGTACAACTTGCATGTTAACATTTAAAAGCTAAGTCAGTACTGGGCTAGGGATTTTATCAAGCATCAGTTATACTGTAACTATTCGTATACATGCATTAGCTAAAGTACATTCCTAGGGAGTTCTGAATGCCTACATTTTGATATCAGTGTATTGCTGCAGATGTAAGCTTCTGATATGTTTTCCATTTCTGGATATTGATTCGTAATTGTTACAAAAAAGCTGTTAAAAAAGATATCAATTTGTGATTTTATTTTTACACTTTGGATTTCTTCACATGCTGTGAATATTTAGTGACTTAGAACCGCCTACATTGTGCATTTATATGCTTTTAGTTTAAAATATAGAGGCAGACAAAAGGCAGAAGGAATTTGGTAGGTGGGCTGTAGGTGCACCTAAGCATTAGAATCAAAAGATTTTGCTGCAGTATTTTTTCTCACTTGACATGGTAATGGTTTTAAACAGAAATATTGAACCCAAGATCCCTTTGCAAAAATCAATAGAACAACAATTATCTCCCTCTCGTGTAAGTAAATCAATGTTTTCCCTACGTCTGTCTTGCTCTCAACCAAAACAGCTCTAGCCTAAACTCTGCACACTTCTCATTTAAAAACCACTAGAAAATTCTAATCATTGCTGCAAAACCTACTCTTAGGAGACAAAATGGCAATGCAAAGTACTGAAATTAAAAGTAAAATTACTGAAAATTAACACAAACCCATATTCCATGTTTATTGGTTGAGGAGGAAATTTTATGTGAGTGCCAAATTGCACACACTGTACAATAGTTGTCATGGACCAGAATTTGTTCCAAAGTCTTTCATATGTTTATCACTTTGAAAACTTGATAGATATTAGTTGATTTTTTCCTTGTTGTTGTCAATCATGAAACTAAACACTCAAGTCAAACAGCTGAGAAACTCCACTTGGAACAGCTTCCATTCACAATGAAAACAAAATAAAATTAAACACTCAAGTAGACTACAGGTCTGTAAAATATCATGTCTGCAACACAGTGGTAATGTATTTTCATAAAATGAACCTTACAATGAGCCTTTGGCTGTGCTATAAGGTAAAGGAAAAAGTGGTGTTTAGTGATCTCTCATGATCATCATTATTCTCATTTTTGACAATAACCCGTAGAATGATTCTAGTTGCAATAGGAATAGTTGTCAAAATAAATTGTTGTAATTCATAGGGGCAACCATAGTGATTTAACTAAAATACAGTACATGCTTGCTGAGAGTTTCTTGAAGCCTGTCAGAACATCTCCAGTTTAGACCTCGATTATACTGTTGGATGAAAGTGAGCAGTTAATAACAATTGGAAAATGACACTTGCCCAGGTGCTACCAGCCTGTGGGACTGGCTTCGGCCTGGCAATCTTCAATACTCCACACTGTGCCACCCTTGACACTTGCTGGGTACCAGTTTTACTTAAGAGGACCACATCACTCCTCCATTTCCTTTAAGATGTGAGGCAACTGCAATAGGACCATGATGGATGCCACTGACAAGTGCAGGTTGTGGAGGATAAAAATGTATATGATCCCTGTCACCTCTTCTGGCTATAGAAATAAAGCTGGAATATTTGAAAGGGTGAGAAACAAATCCTCAATCATTTTTATTTTGTTGTTGTTTTCTATCTTTTTGGCTGATGCTCCTGCCTGATACATTCACTCTGATTTAACAACTGGGGAATCTGTTTATGTGCTGTGATTCATTTGTCTCGCTGTCATGTACAGTAGCTGGGGCTCTCTTTGGGGTGCTGGTTTTTCAACCTTGGGGACACTTTGTCTAAATGGTAAAATAGTCAATGAAAAAGTAACATGGTTCTCTGTGGCATTTCTTTCTTGTCACGGGGAATTTGCAGTCTTTCTGTTCAAATACAGATAAGGAAAGTTGAGGGACCAGATAAATAATTAGGCAGGCAACACACAAAAAGGCTTACGCTCAATAATAAAGCAAAAGGTTTAGATAACATCAAACTTTTCAGAAATGATTGGTGGGATTTTGGCTCTATAAAAATGCTCTTGGCTTTGTTTCTTTGCAGGGCTCATTGCCGGCCCCAGCCATTCAGTACTCATGGAATCCTTTTTAGATAATGAAACATATTACGGGAACGAGACAGATGTCGCCAATGGAACTGAACGCGTGCAGAGGCACCAGTACAACTACTACGCCATGTTGCTGACCCTGCTCATCTTTGTCATCGTCTTCGGCAATGTGCTGGTGTGCATGGCTGTCTCCCGAGAGAAGGCGCTGCAAACCACCACCAACTACCTGATTGTGAGCCTTGCCGTGGCAGATCTCTTAGTGGCAACACTTGTCATGCCATGGGTGGTCTACTTAGAGGTGAGTCATTCATCCTGCCATCAAATCAATGGAAATTCCCAGTCAAATGCTGCTCAGGAAGTAAATAGGAAGAAGGAGATGGAAGTACGGGAAGTAGCTCACATTATGGCAAAACCCTTGTAGACTAGTGGTTAGAAATTGAATTTCAAGGATTCTTTCTGTGGATATTTCATCTGTGTCGTGTCAAAGGTTGAGCGGGTCACTGTACTCAGGAAAGAGAAAAGACTGAGGAAAGAAATTAGCTCTCAACCCAAATTTACCTGGTGGCAATGTACACCAAGTATGTACAGTAGCTGCGTCAGCATGCGTAGGCGGCAAAGGGACAAGTGAAGGTTTATTCCATGCTGAAAAGAGAAGAAAATAAAAACAAAAACTTTGTGTTTCTTTTCTTCTCTTTTGAGCGTGGAATAAATCTTCACTTTTTCCTTTACACCATGGGTATTTTAATTTTCTTCGTGGACTGCCTGTAAGTTTAACACGAGATTCACCTTCCGTTAGGCTGAGTCAGCAAATTTAAATGAATAAAAGCAGTGCTTGGAAGCTATGCTTTAGGCTAACATATACTGCATCTCTGATGCTTTGGGCATGAACAGAGCAGTTTGTTCCAAAATTTCTGCATTTATCATGTTTTTTAATGTTGTTTTTTTTACATAAATAATCAAGGTTGATTACTGCATACAGAACATCGTATACATGATGATATGTCATGTGTTCATTGGGAAGTAGGATGCATGACATTACTATGGGATTCTGTTTCTGAAGTGTTTCTGAAGCTTTAGATGTGGTTAGAAAGCTTTATTCAATCATTTGTGGTTTTTTTTTGTACTGAAGCTAAGTCTTCAAACATTTCCCTGATAATAGTTTGGAAAAAGTCCAATTAAAAGCAGAATGGAGAAACTCAGACATGTTTTCCTATTCATCATTTTCCTGTTTGCTTTAAATTTTGAACACTATTGATTTTCTAGGATAGACACTGTCACAAGGTGTTCTTCTCTGCAGCTTCTCTCATCAATACTTTTCATGATGCATTTTGTGTTTTACAAATCTCTAACGTTCACGACAGTGAGAACTTGCACTCAAACAGTCCTTTGTCACCATCGGAATCCATAATCAGTTCACCTTAACCAGCTAGTAACCAGCCCTTTTACCTGTATTGGAAAACTGCAGGCATTTTCACACCAGCACACACATGACCACATCTCAGCTGGAGCACAGGAACATGCTGGAAGGAAGAGAGCACTACTAATTGATTTTAATTAAGACTGGCGGATCCAGATTTTATCACCTGTCTTTGAATTTGATTGTTGGTCTTCGAAAAGGTGTAATGAAACCTTTTACATCCATAGTGCATGGGTAAATAGACAAACTCCGTTCATTTCATTTTGAAAGAAGGGTAAAGAGCTTTCTCCTAAGATCTGCAAAGCTTTCTCAGCTATTTTTTAGAAATACTTTCCTTACTACATTTTATATGTATAAAGCTATGTTTTGTCTGCCTGCAATGGAAGTTTCCTATGGCACTGCAAAAGATGCTGAACTTCTAACCAGAAGCTTGTGGTTTTATGTCCCCCATGTGTAAATTGCTTCAAAATTCGTGAGCAAGGTGCTTTTACCCGATTGCTCCAATGAATGAGTGTCAGCATAGCTGGAAGAAATCTTGATGGACTAGAATAGTGTGTCTTGTGGGAGTAATGGGGGAAGGAGGGGGGTCACATCTTCTCAGTGTACATATTGTTACAATTCACTCTGGACTAAGCCATTAAACTACTGTACTACAAAAATGACCCGGAAAAGAATGATTAATTCTCTTTAATGGATTAAGTATATCCATTATTCCTATTTTAGGACTGGAGCGTGTTTTCTGCTGAAAGGTTTTGAAACTCTTCTGCTGCCTCCTTACCTTTATGTCTATAGATGCTGAAATGACCCAAAGCCTACTGACATTTCAGACTAAGCCTTTGGCAATAGAGTAAAAATAAAAAAAGAAAGGTTGCAGAACAGGGCCATTTAACTCTTCTTGTGCATTCAGTTATTAATAACTGAGGGATTATAGATATCCACAATCACCATTCTTCTACCAGTTCTACTTCAAACCCTATTACGATTGTATAAGTACATGTACTGTATATACTGTAGATATGTATGATTGCATAAGTACTATTGACTTAGTATGTACAGTAGGTAATAATGACTTATATTTGTTTCAAATATTGAATTTTATGTATACACTTTCAAGCTTTTATGGTGCTTTTATGTTTCATAAATTATCTGCTCTCACAAACATTGCAGTCTCTGTGAAAGGTTCAATTTTCCACAATGGTTAAAGTCAACTTCTCTCAGAAACACTACTGTAATAAAGGAAGAAGGAGCACTAATTTAATGACCTACTATGATATTAGGTTTTAAAACTCCAAGACACCCAGTGAAATAAAAAGTGCAAATTGGCAGGATCTAATTATTAGACATTTTCATGTCAAAGGAGGTGTAGAAATTCAAAGTACTCCATTAAATTAAACAAAAATTAAATAAAAAAAGAACTTGTCAAAGATTGAGCCTCAGGCTGATTTTTGTTTTAATTTGTCATTATTTCTTCCTTTAAAGTATTCTATTTTTCATAAATCAAGGTATGACAGATATAATGTTTCACAGCCTTTATGTGCTAATTATGTTTAACCCTTCATTTAAGAACCCAATACAGAAGATGAATACAGTATACAGTATATAAAGAAACAAGTAATAGATTTATTCCATGCTAAAAAGAGAAGAGAGAAAACACAGCGTTCCGGCTGTGAAGCCTTCTTCAGGAGAGTATACAGTATACTGTATGTTGTACACCATATTATAAGCAAAAGGAACACTTATATGGGCTGGACAAAATGAAGCTGGATTTGACTTCTCTTTTATAGTTGCTTGATCACCAAAAAATGTGCAAGTTACAGTACATGGGTTACTAACAAACACCATCCATATACAGTAGATCCAAATTTATTGTCTTGCCTGTGTTACTGAAAGGGAATTACAGGGTGATGTTTATAATTCATGCAGAACAGATTGGATTCCCTGGCCTTTACAAGATGTGAATTCTGCAGAACAACATTATTGCTACTCTGTCAGCATTTCAATTTTTCCATTTCCCAGAAAGCTAGCGTATTTGTGAAGAGTTCAAAAGGAAAACAGTGCAAACTATTCCTAGTGCATTTTATGAACATCTGAGAAACATAATTTTTTCAATTGGAAGGGAAATGTCTATATCAGTATCTTTGATTAAGTTTATAAGTCACAGAAGAAGAAAATTAAATGACTATACGTACAATGAAAAGGAAAAGCACCTGTATTCCATATCAGTCAGGTATCAGATTGCAGCATAAAGCATAAACTGCCATCACCCAAACCCATTGGATGTGTGGTAGCATGCGGTTTATGGCATTCCCTGAATGGCTTTTGGTTTTTAGCCAATTCTGCAATACTTGTGCAAGGTCATCACAAGTCAGCACAAGTCAATACAGAGATTGAATTCTGCTGCAGACTCTGGTAATACTTTGCCCTGGTCATTTAAGTGGTTGTAGTGTGAACAATGATGTCACTAGTAATCTCTAGCTATCTGACGTTTCGGGTTAAGAGTATACACTCAATAATGCTGTGGCTGTCACACTGACTTTATCGTATTGCCTGCAATCATAGTACTGATCCCCCTTGCAATATCAGTAATGGCCTTTTACAATAGAGTAGAGCTGTGAACTCACCATCTTCATGAGAAAAATGATAACTGTAATAGAAAGAAACAAAGATGACTGAACATACATTACATTTTTTTCTGGAGATAGAGGGTAATTTTAGTTTTCAGATACTTTGCTATACTGAACTGTATACGTACTGTAAGTATACCCTTCTCCTATAAAAACACAACCATCCATCTTTAAACAGAACCATTTAAGTCTCAGATCTCATGATTAAATTGAATATTCGTCGGGAATATTATTTGGAAAGTCTAATAAATTGGAATTTGATGTGAATATCAGGCTTAGCAACATACAGTATGTCTGTAGGATGTAATTATTGCAAATATCATATTTTAGGTATGTGTACATACTATATCCGTTAAAGTAGCAGGCAATAAGAATGGCTCTAGCTGGCACATGAAGAACAGGCAACCATTTTCACAGAAGGCTGGCATAGGGCCGAATGCTGTTGAACTTTATTATCATAACATTAACAACGTTTAACAGATGGAGGTCACTTCACAGTCATGACACAATACAGTTCAGTACCAACCATTACTGATTTGTATATAAAAGTTGTAGAGAAGGGAGCTAAAATTGGACAGAACCTTCAACTAATTTTGATTTTTTCATTAAACATTATTTACTGTCCACCTTAAATGAAAATGGTACCCAAATCTGTTGAGGTAATCATGTAATGTCAGGGAAAATATAGGCCATGCTAGTCATCAGCATTGTCCTCTGTTCTGGTGAAACCAGCCTTGAAAACCAAGAAAAATTCACAAATACAGGTAAAATCAACCATTCAATGAAATTCAGAAACAGACATTATTAATAAACATCTGAAAGTGATTATTTTTTCTGTCGCTAGAGATTACATATTTGGAAAAAAATATATGATATATTGTGCAACCTCATGCTTTGTTTTCTTTGTTGATGAACAGGGAGGCACAGAAATGGGTTTCTGATGTGATTACAGAGTAAATCTTAGAGTGTTTATGGCTTGTTTAATAGTATGCAATGCTTTGGGAGAGAACAAAAAGCCTTAACTAAGCTAAAGTTAAAAAGTAGCGGGAAAGATTGTCTATTTTTGCTTTGAAAGTACTTCAGGCTTTTGTTATGCTTGCACAATACTTTTCGGGGTATTATGTCAGAAATCAAAATTGCCTCTTTTGCAGTACTGTTCTGAGATGTTGTCTGGAAATGGTTAAATCTCCCTCATGAAAGGATGTTTTTGCAGATTTCCATTGCTTATGCTTGCACTTACCTTATTTTGTTATAGTA